AAATAATATTTAAATAGTATTAAATATTTATTTATAATAAATACTAGTAAAAAAAATGATACTTAAATCAAATTAATTCTTGTACTAAATAAATATACGTTTACATCTAGTAAATATTTAATTAATACTATTCAAATCAATATTTATTAAAATTAACGTTTTTTTTCAATGTAGAAATAATTAAAAATAAAACAATACAAATCCTATGGATTATACATGTATGGATCATACATGTGAATACACAACCAATATGAAATAAAATTCATAACGGTCGAAGTTGAATCTTTAGTGCTTAAATACTTAATTCGGTGTAAATTTATATACCACGTATCAAATCCTCAACTGCGCGCCGAATTGATTTTTCAGATTTGAACGCTATAAACGACAAAACTACTAGTAGTATTACAAATTAAATTGTCTAGCAATTTAATTTGTAATAATTTTTATTAAAATAATTTTTATGTTCATCTTAATGATACTGATAAACACATTAAAATCTGTAAATAAAAATAATTCTAATCTGTAATTAAAAATAACTCAAAAATATTGGGTATAATTTGATATTATATGTACATAATTAAAATAAGATAATTGCGATGTAAAAAATTAATTTATTCTATTAGAGTGTCAGTGCAAATCGATTTTCAGTCATTATATTGTTAATTATTTTACATTAATTAAATTATTAAATTTATTTCACTATTCTTTTAAATTCATTCTCTTTTAAAAAGTAAATTGAATGAATTAAGTTTATCCTTTGATGCAGACAGTAGAATTGGAATGACCGTATAAAGCTATTCATCGATTTGCGTAGAAATATACGTAGGCCGACTCAGTTCTATTCGCTGTGCTGATGCAGAGCCGTGGGAATACATACAACGAATTTATCAACAGTCGTAAAAGTAATGCGAATGCTCACATACTCGTCAAGTCATGCCATGAGAAAAGTACCTTTAAAAGGAAAATGACGAGCGCTACTTCTTCACTTTGTTCATCTTTGTTCCATCGTACTGAATAAATCGAATTGGATTCGTCATCGTCAATGTGTCACGACATAGTTAATTATAAGAATAATAAACGATTAACAAATGATTAACAACGTCGCGTGATAATTGAACTTCTAATAAAAAGATAAAGCTAATTTTATCAAGCGAGAAAAAAACTCTGGAGGCGAATCAATTAATTAATTGAGTAGAGAAGAAATGTACATATAAAAATTGATTTCAATTCCCTCTACAGTGTTTTATTCATTCGTCCACGTGTATTTAATTATTCCATGAAAATTGTAACAGTGATGTATTGCCGTGGCAAACTGCAGCGAATCGGAAAGTTAAAAAATTAAATCGTATCCCAGATATGTGTGTATTTTAATTTTCGATAAATAGCTAAATGGGGTAAGACAACTTTTACAGACAAAGCTCAGTGAAACGGTGAAAATTTTGAAATACGCTTCTTTGATCTTGTTAATTCCCTGTTTAAAGACGCACGACTCGCTTTTCCTCTCTCCATAATTTATACATTTTTCGCAATTTCGCATAGCGTAAAGCAAAATCCCATATCCCCGCGTTTGAAATTTAAATCAATTTCAAAAGTCATTAAGCAACACGCGCTTTGATCAGCATTGTACGGCTTAATTTACTGTTGTAAAATACATGCTTAAATTCTCGAATGACAAATCCGCTATTACGCACATTTACGCGTATCTCGCGTTTCTCTCCGAGTCGATCACGCCCGGCTGACTCTTGCCTTCGAAACGTGCCGGCTGTACACGCGTGCGAGTGCGAGCGGCAGCTCAGGAAACGTGATCCACCTGCGCGTGTACGCACGCTCACGCTTCTATTGCGGCAACAAATTCACGGTGAAAGTATCAATATCCGCTCGAGTCAACGTAGCATCAAATAAATGACGTAAAGACCGTTATATTGAAATTTAATGGACGGCTTACTAAACATCTGCATAAATCCTATGACATAATTTGTATTAATGCTCGTTAACTGCGGCACGCGTCAGATTTTCATCCAAAAGTTCTTTTTGCTCGATGAATGTAATTTATCGTAAAAGATTGAAATTAAAGTCCTGCAGGCTGAATCATATGAGATTCTTTAATCATATACATAAAAACAGTATATTATATATTTAAATAAGCCGGAAACAAATCCATTGATTTATTAAGAATGTATCAGATATTATCATTTCTGTAAAAAGTGACTGGTGGAATTGGAAAAAAAAAATTACATACATATGAAACAAGTTTAATAAAGTTAATATTTACATTTAACAATACAATTTTATATTTTAAATAAAAATTTTCTCATTTTATATCAATTATTTTTTAAAAGCACATATTCGTTTTATTGAAATAATTATTTATCCACATTTTAAATCGCCGCCAAACTTTTTTTTTGTTACTTTCACATACACACACAAATACAATATAAAAGTCTATAAATTTTTCATAACTTTTGCATTCAAAAATATGTGCAATATATCCTTAAGTAAATAACCACTCAGTCGTGTCTTATCTGTTTGCGAAATGAATATGATTCATTCTCGTAATTCTAATACGTAATTCTTATATGAACTTATATGAATTTACACGTTTTTATGCTTCTATTTGGAAAATCATTGCCTCAGATAGAAAAAAAAAATAGGTAAAGAGAGTTCTTAAAACAAATAAATCGTGCGAAAGGCCGACTTTTTCTCACAATTTACAATATTAATAGGGATTAGAATCCTATAAGAAAAACTGAGTGAGTTCCACTTGGAAAAGGCTTACCAGTTGAATGACCGATGCCGTCATTGCAGCCATAATTTCCACGCGCGATCTCGCACCTTCGAATGGACTCCCTCATTTTCTCGAGAGTATTTGTTCGAAAGTATATTTCGAGCAAGGTATTCATTTTATAACGGAAACAATCTGTGCGTATGCTATTCTTTTATTCGCGTTTCGATCAATTCGTGTCGACCACAACGAATCTGCGGAAAAAATACATCCGCTTTCGTTTAAAACAATCGAGAGAAAGCGCAGATGGTGTATTTCAATTGCTTTCTAAACGACGAATTACATCCACTCGAATCACTCTCTCGGTATCATAGTATTTGTGATGAAAATTATTAGCTTTAGAATAGTGAACGTGTGTGCAACAAAAAATAGTAGATAAAATGATATCTAAAAAAATAAATTTCGCTCTTCAAATAAGAGACTGCCAAGCTACTTGATTCAATAGAATTTATATATTTATAGCGAGAATGCTGATGCAACTTCCGCTTTGTACGGAATAACAAATAAAAGTTCATCAAACCAGCACAAATATAAGCGGCTTTTGAACGGAATGGACATGAATTTTTGATAAATCTGTGTGTTGCACGCTTGCGAATTTGCAATGCAATATAAAGTTCACGTCCCATGGGTATATATCTCCAAACAGTAAGTGAGTTTTATTTGTATCCAGAGACGCGTAAAAGTGCAATATCTATCTGTG